TTCTAAGTGCGGAAGCAAAATAAAATATTATGATTAACATCTCTTACACAATAACCAAAACGTATTAAACGTATGAAAGAATAAGTTAACTAAAGTAAATACTAGAAATGAATACTATAAGGAAAACCATAAAATCTTTAGGCATCTACTCGCCGTCTTCCTGCGGAACGGGCTCGGGAACCAAGTGCTCATAATCTGAAATGGTTAAGTAAGGAATGAGCTACACTAGCCCAGTAAATATGTTACACTATCTCACTGTCACAGAAGTAAAGGTTGGTAGAAAATAAAAACGACCAATTGAGCATAATTTATAGCAAATTATTTATCAATAATAAAACTCTTTACTGTCTACTTACCTCGGTGAGATTCATGAAAATAACTTATGAAAATAATAACATTATAATATCATGAAATCATACGCACTCTGTAACATAACACATATCATACTTTTAATATTTCAATCATCAGGCAACAAATTTCCTCTTTTACCAGCCTACCAGTATCCATGGGGATCCATAGGGGTCCCCGCTACACGTGAACCATTCACTTTAATAACTCAACTCGAGGGCCGTCCCCATACCCCGTCCGGTATGGGCGCCAAAACCATAAACCTCAATACCCTGTCTGGTATGAGGGTGAAGCGGGCCGTCTCCATATCCCATCCGGTATGAGCGCCAAAACATTTAAAGTCTCCATACCCCGTTCAATATGAGAGACAACATTCCCGGTAGGGTTCCCTATGGACTCAGTCCGTCCACCATCTCCCAAGATATCTAGTGAGGCTGTCGACTTATCCATTTATCAATTCACATACCTTTTCTATTCTTTTCTTAGTTTTCTGTTTCTTACATAATCATGAATATTTAAACCAGTAACGAGCATCCAACAATGCAGGCATATTATCGGATTCACAAAATCAAGGCATAATGAAGTAAATAGTGATTCATGCATTCAAAACTATAGAATAAATAAATCAGATACCATAATGCATTTAAAACTGTAAAATAACTAAAATAGCAACTGTCCGAAAATATATCAGATCCGGACTCCATTAGCAACCTTAATTAATTATACATATCTATTAATTCATAAAATACCGTTTTATCATTTATTAAACTTTAATTCCGTGATAGGAAATAGGGTGAGTGATCCTTACTTGATTCGAAGTCTAAAATCGGTTTTTCAACGGGTAGTCCTTAGATTCCCTAAATTTTTTTTCGGGAACTGAAACACACTTCCGGTATCTGCACATGTCCCCAAAAAATTCCAAATGAGACCCAAGGCCTCCTCGGCCAATTTCGGAACTCCGGTACGGCGAAGAAACACACGTAGGGCCCTTGGTGGGCCAAAAAATATAGAAAACTGAGACTTACCGGCGGCGGAGCTCTCGGGTGCGGCAGTTCTTCCGGCGTGAGTCGTGATTTAGCGTTTTGCTCCGGTCAACCTATAGAGAAAAGGTCGGTGGTCACAGTGGTGTAAAAATTACATCGAATGGGAATCGGGAAGAGCCTCATCGGAGGCAAAAATTGATAAAACTCGCGGCGGCGTTTTTCGGCCAATTGACCGGTGGTTTGGCTCCGATTTGGCCACAGGTGGGTTCAGCATCAAAATCCAAGCCAATGGGAGAAATTTTACCTAGTTTGGCGGCCGAAAAGTGCTCCGGTGCGGCGGCGGGTGGCGGCGATCGGTTCCCCCAGCGGCTGGGTTGTCTTCTCCGGTGAGAGTTTTCACAGCTAGGGTTTGGGGTTGAGTGTGGATGAGATTATTTATAACATTCTCCTTTTAATCTGAGCTGTCCGATCGCGATTAAATTGAGAATAAATCTGGACTGTCCATCGCGATGCGATCTGGGCCGTCCGTGCGCGCGAGAACGGATCTCAGCCGTCCGATCGCACGCACGCGGATCGCCCACGTGACTCCGTTCTGCGTAGCCTCCCGCGTCAGCGTCTCTGCCATGCGGCGTGTCCTGGTTGGTCAGGGCTGCTGATGGGGCTGCTGACGTGGCACAATTTTTTTAAATTATATTTTGACCCCCGATTTTCAATTTTCTTTTCAAAAATACTTTCAGAATTCAAATTTTCACCCATTTTTTTTAAAATTGTTTTCAATTAAATCTCAAAAATAATTTTACCATTTTTTATTATTATTATTATTTTTATTTTTATTGAATTAAATTAAACTAAATTTAAAACTATATAATTATTACATAATAAATCAATTATAATAATTAAAATAATTCCAATAATAATAATAATATTAGAATTAGGATGTTTCAAAAATGCTTTAAATATATATATATATATATATATATATATATATGATAATGCCGTTTGTCAGCAATATAATTCGAGAGATCTCTTAATAAATCCACATAAAATGACAGTTTCAGCACATACATTGATTCTGTCTTGAAAGTTCTTGCACAAGTACTTTAATCAAGGTCAGTGCATCTATAAGTTGGTTGTTTGACACAACGTGATGAGGGTAGATGATTTTTGCCGAATCCAATTTTTGAAAAGAAAAAGGTAACTAAGAGAAAAATGTGCCATGTAATTTTGATTGACTAAAGTAGTAAAACAATATGTTTCATCCAAATTTTTAGAGTATACTCTTGGAGGGAATCAACCAACAACCAACTTTTTAATAGATTTTCAACCCATCTAAATTTAAAATTCGTTACAAAAATTGTTATGTATTCTACCTCCATGGAAGGGCAAGTAATGATTTTCTATTTCTTATGAGAGAAAGAGAATAAGTATTGCTCTTGGATAGATTATGAAGGTGATGTAGAATGCATAATTTTAATTGGTTCATTCTAAATCTTAATTAAAAAATATATATATATATAGAAATAAAATTTAGGAGTTCATCAATCACATTTATGAGTTACATCAACCAATTTATATTCTGCCTGATAATTTTATCCTACTTTGCTATAAATTTTCAAACACTTTTTTTGTTTGATAAGCTTTTTATATCCTTCCATAATTGCGTTATGTAGATAAAAACCTTCATGTAGAGCAACAACGTTAACCCACAAATTCCTAAATAAAGCAGTTGGTCTATGATGAATATATATATATATATATTTATATAAATGTTATAATTCTTAATTAAATAATTACCTTCTTAAATAACTCAATTTCACATATGAATGTCAACTTCTAAACTCCTTTTGTTGAAGATTTTGCAAATAACTCCCACCACCAGAAAAAAATGATATATGCAAGTAGAAAACAATGGATGAACTATTATCAATTTTGTAGCAACGAGGTGCACGATATTTATTCATTTTCTTTAATTTCCACCATATAGATATATGTGTGTGTGTGTGTGTGTACATATATATATATATGTAGTTAATTCTATCAAGAAAAGGAAAAAATCTGTACTCGTGATGACATCTTTTGGGGCTGTAATACACACACACACACACATATATATATATTAGGCAATGACATGTCATGGAAACAATGCTCTAAATATGAGTGTGTTATAATTTCATGGTAAGCTTCTGAAAAATTAACATTTGAGAAATTCTCTCAAAAATTAATATTTGAAAAATTATTTTCCATTTCCTTAACGATGTCTTCAATTACAGGCCAGATTCTGATGATTCTGGAGGGCCCAATTTCTTTTTCTTTTTCTTTTTGACAAAAAAACATAAGATCTTTGATCTTGCATTCTGTCATTATCACAATTAGGCAGGTTAATCTTAACATCAATTCATAATTAGGTAAGGAAATTAACTCAAGATGATGATTTACACATTCTTTGGCAAGTCCTCAAAACGTAAGTGTATATGAGAAAACCCTTTTTTGCGAAAGCCAATCACTCACTTCTTAAATTGAAAGTCATCCATGTCTAGGAATGTGCAGAAATTGTGTTTTAACAGAAAAAAAAAATGGATTCAATTCAATCAATTTAATGGGTTCCATTAAACCATTTTTTCCCTTTCAATTCAATTTTAAGCAAGTGGATATCAATTTTTGCTTTAAAGTTTTCAGAAGCAAACCAACCAAAAAACCAAACATCACAAGTTCTTCTCTTATTTCAGATATCTAATTTTAATGTTAATAATATATATATATATATATATTATATTAACATTATAATGCAATCAAAAGGACCTAAAAAGAGATAAACAGAAAAGAAAGGTTATCGCATGAGCCTACAACCAGAATTCTCACTACAAGCACCAGAATCCATCTCCCTCCTAGAAAAAACCTAAGGCTCAGGCAACTTGTGAATTCTCACCAGAAGCTCTATTTGATATGATCTTCAAGCAAACGGCTTACTAAAATAAAAGACAGTAGTTAACCAGGTAATGATATTATTTTGCATTTACTTATATTTTCATAAAGAACTCAATTTGACTCATATTTATATGTCAACATAATCTTCGTTATTTCTTTTAACACAATTTCTCACCTGCAGTTTTTGCCTTGTCTGATATAGAGTAGGCATCTTGTAGAGAAAACCAGATTGCCGGGTTTTCTCTCTCGGGGAAGAACTAAGCTTCCATAAGCTTTTCTCTTCTACCAGCCAACCACAACTACAAATATTGATGTTCTTTTCAATTGGCACTAGAAGATTTTAAAATTCAGCTAAAATTGAGTGAAAAAATGTTCATAGCTAGAATTAGAAAGGCATTGTAGTGTTTTACTCAAAAAGAAAAACCAAAGGACAAGCATTGAATTACATTCATTCATTGATTTGATCAATATATGCAAATACCCTAATCATTTCCAAATACATTCATCATTGAGTACGAGAACTAAACCTTAATTTATTTGCCAAATACATTTTTTTCCCAGAAAAAAGTAGTTTTCTAATGCCTCTGACAAGAATGAACAAATAAAGGCTATATTTAAAGAGATCAAATATAATCTTATATATAATCTCTATTGTAATACATGTTAAATATAAGAGTATATTTATCCTAAGAGTATATTTATCCCTTTATAGTGTATCTAAGTCCTGCATTACTATTCAAGCTATGAAGCATGAAAAAGATTGCCAAAGTCCATTAGCAGAAGATAAAGGTCTTGCATACATGTACATACATCAACAAAGTCTAAGAAAGGCCACATGATTCAGTAACTCTTCATCTATTTAAATCAATATTTAACCTACAAATATAGGACTAAATTTGACTCCAAGGTTAAAAATCTAGACTTATGTTCCTGGATGTCCACTGACCATCTGTATACAAACGCTAAATTCAAACTTCTAGTATCTTCATCTCTTCCTCTTCTGTTGATTGAACTTTCTACAAATATGGCCAGATGTTTCAGAAGCCCTAATGCACTCCACTGACAACTTACAAAATATATTATTATAATTGATGGATGCTCTGAGATGGATCTGCCCGATTTAAACGTTTTTTCAGGTATCTCCAAGCTACTTGAATCCGAGTAGCTGCCAGAGATCTCCAATAGGGTGATTCGTACCTGTCATGAAGACAGTGACAAGTTGGAAAGGAGAATTCTATTTCAGTCCCTGGGTCTAGCACAGTTAACTGAAATTGTTAAGATGGAGCTTTGAGATAAATCACATTTTAGAGCTGATATCATCCAACTGTCATTTACATTCATAATCTTGAAAACACAGCATATAACACATCGGCAACTGTTACATAGCCATTGAAAGTTTACGTTTATGATCTTGAAAATATATGACACACTGGGGCACTGCTATAAACCATTGGAAATTTACACTTACGACCTTGAAAATGCAGCATGTAACACACTGGGGCTTCGCTACAAAAGTTACCACAAAAAATTCACTTTATTTAAAAAAATTGACATGTTACAACAGATGTCATTCCTTTAGTTGATATCCCTCTCTTCAAAAATTTCAAATTCTGGTTGTCATTTATGCAACAATCAAGAAAAATAGTTACTTACATACCATATTTGTTGAAGAAAATATTATGATTTAACTATATGTTAGAAAGAACATAGGCATCTATAAGGATCTCCATGACAAGAAAAGCAAAAACTATGGAATAAAAAACTTAACTACGTAGGACAAATCTATCTACAAAATAAGTATATAGGAAATATATTTTATATCTTAATACTTTCCTCATGATGGAGCTTATATATTAGATGCACCAAGCTTGTAACAAATTAACTTCACACAAGTGCCACCTAAGAATTTTGTGAATACATCAGCTATTCAGTTTGTTGACTTGACTTCACGAGTGGTCCAAAGATAATGCTGCTAATTGGATATAAACAAGGTCAAGGAGATTAATACTCTCTTTATCAAGCATTCAAATTCAGGGAGAGTTATAATTTTATTAGTGCATGTTAATGACATCATTGTGATGGGAAATAATACAGAGAGATTAATACTGAAACAATATTTGACAAAGGAATTTGAGATAAAAAAATTAGGAAGGTTGAAGTACTTCATAATAACTGAGGTAGCTCACTCGAAAAAAGGGATCTTCATCTCCCAACAAAAATACATCGGTGATCTTTTGAGAAGTACAAACAAGCTACAAGCTAGACTTGATAAAAGAAGATGAGAGTGTTACATAAGAAAATGTATAAGAAATCAGTTAAAAGACATTTATCTATAAATATGAGGCCAGATATTGGCTATGTAATAAATATAATAAGCCAGTTCATACACAATGCAAAAGACAGTTACAGGTAGCATAAGAGTAATTACACTATTTGAAAGGAACCCTAGTAAAAAGTATACTGTTCAAAAGAATATCAGAATGATAATAAAAGACTATATTCATTCTAACCATAATGAGTGAGTAGTGGATAGAAGATTACTGCATGATATTGTACTTTCATTGGATGGAATCTTATTTCATGGAGAAGCAAAAAACAAAATAAGATAGCAAGATCAAATACAGAATCAGAATAGCAATGACACAAGGGATACATGAGTTGTTATAGTTAAAGATTATCTTAGAAGATTTGGAAATTAAATGGAATAGTTCGATGTGACTTTATTCTGACAACACGTCTGCTACTAGTATTGTCTACAATGTAGTAGAACATGACAGGACCAAGTGCATTGAAATTGATAGATATTTTATAAAAAAAAGGAAATAAAACTAGACAATGTCTTGATCTGCACACCCTATATGCTATCCATCTTAACTTGTACATATGCTCACCAAAAGCTTGAGTAACCCAACATTTCAAATTATCATTACCAAGTTGGGAAGGACCAATGTCTATTCACCAGTTAGAGGGAGATTGGAAAGTGTACAATTGCAATTACCTTATAGAAGGATATATTAGTAAATATATACTTTTGTGATTAGTTTTTAGAGTTTTCTCTACTTACACTTACAAGTTGTGTGTATAAAAAGTCAATTATTCAATAATATCATAACATTCTTTTCTCCACGATTACTGAAGTCAATTCTATGATTTCAATTGCAAGCTGGATATGATTAAGATCTATGGTGTATCGAGAGAGAGAGAGTATGGAAATTCCCAAATTTGTTGGATTGGTAAAATAGAGATTGGTTAAGGATTTATTGCATTTACTTTAGGAAGATTTGATAGATAATTAGGAAGGTTTGGTAGATAATTTTATTCCTAATTTGTTAGCATTCTTTCCCATTTTAGTATACCAATTGTATTATAAATATATGCATACTACCTCGTAAATAGTAGAAAAATAAAATAAAAAATTCTTTTTTTTTTGTTTACGAGGCATTATTCGATGAATAATGGAAAGAGGCTATAAAAAAGAGATGTAGGCACTAAATAAGAACCAACATGAGAAGTCATTGAGCTGCCACCTAGAAACAAGCTTGTGAGATTCAAAAGTTGGTGTTTCCAGTGAAGTATGCTGGATGGCTACCTAGATAGGTACAAGCCAGACTCATGGGAAAAGGATAACAAACTCTATAATATGGACTATCAAGAGACATTTATTCCTGTGCCAAAAATGAATATGTTAAGAATTTTGATGTCTTTATCGACTAACTTTGATTGGTATGAAGCAATTTAATCTAAATAATGCTTTTCTTCACGAAAATTGGATGTAAGTGATATACATGGAGATTTCTTCAGGTTTCAAGGGAATAAGAGACAATAAAGTGGACAGATTGAAGAAAGCATTGTATAATCAAAGCTACCAAGAACTTGGTTTGGAAGATTTATCAAAGTAATACTTGCCATTGGGGATAGACAGAGTCAAGGAGATAATATGATCTTTGTATGTCGATAAAATAATTGTTATAAGAAATGATGAGAAAGAGAAGGAAACATTGAGAAATCACGATGTTGCAAATTTCTCCTATATATATCCACAGGTGAACTTATGTACTAAATCAGTTATGTATGGGTTTGGTTGTGAAGGTTTACCGCCTATGAGGCAATGGTGTAACAACTGAACTGCTCTTGAAATTGCAGAAAATCCAGTTTTTCATGAGATAACTATGCATATCAAGCTCAAATATTATTTTATCTAGGAAAAACCTTAACAAATAATTGATCTGTACTAGTCATGTCATAACTGGAGACAACTATGTGCATTTTCATAAAAGCTCTATGAAAAGCTCTATGAGGTTCTAGATTGATTACATTTACAACAAGTTAGATATCATCACTTCTGCTCTAACTTGAAAGGGAGTATTGTACATATAGTACAAATATATATTTGGTAGGTCAATGCATTTACAGGCAACCATATATTTTTGTAATTACAGGAAAGACAGCTAAGAAAAATGCCAACGAGACAACAAACTTTCTATATGAATATGAACAATTTCTTCCTAAAAGAACATGGAGAAAATAGTTTCACCAAATCAAAAACTATCACTGAGAATAATAAAAAGCGAATTACTAGGGAAAAGTTTGACCAAGTGTGGAAAACACAATTTGGAACTCAGAATTTTGCATTGATCTAGTGATCCTCAAAAGTAAAAAAGTAAGCAAAGTTTTGTCATTAAACCTCAAAATTTTAACTCTTTCATTCAGGTGTAGATGCTTTATCAAAAATCCACATAAGTAACACAATCACTAACGGCTTTGCCTGATTAAGGATTTTGCTTGTGGAGTCTGAAAAGTGAAGTTGAAACATATTAAACTGGACTATAATCCAGAGCGACACTATGAACCCAGTGCATTGTTCAAATTGTTGAAGTATTGCCTTGAGTTTATGCATGAACATAATGAATTGATAGAACTAACCTTATGGCTCCTTGAACACGAGAGTTCCTCAAGAATCTTGAGAACAGACTTGTGACTTCTTCAAGGTCTGCAGCTCGGAGTGAAAATGCTTCGACATTTGTCAAGCATCTTACCATCCTGTTGCTAAGCAATCGTTGTCCAGGGATCC